ATTTGTAGAAGAGTAACAGGTAGATTAGACAACACTCCTCGAGTGCTCCAACCCTTTCAAAGTGCGATCGCTTTTACTTCTGTTATTCAATCGTCTGAATTCGATGTAGAAGTAGATCTGCTTTCGTCTGATCGATGTAGATGCAACTATATGATCACGATCAGGACTTAAACACCACAACTCTAAACTCTCTATGTGTTTATGTGTATGTGTTCTAGAAAGATGTCAGAAAAATCAACTCTGATTTTCTGTAAAAATAATCTTCCTAAGGCTTTTAAGAATAATGAATTTGTAGATCAAAAGTCGTTAATAAACCTATGTGTATAACATTGTTTATATAGAGGTTTGCAAAGTCCTATTCCTTCTGAAAATAAAAGAAAATTCGTGCATAAGACTTGGAAGGAAATTTGGATAAAAAAGGAATTTAACTGAATAAAAAAACTGTAAACATTTTGCAATCAAGACTTATGGAACCGGTTTCCAATCTTGGTACCGATTCCCAAAGGACATAATCCAGTTTCTCGAATAACAACTTCTGGAACCGGTTCCCAAATCTTGGTATCGATTCCCACTTGACAAAATCCAATATTAACTTGGATTTTTCGTTGTTGGAAACTCTGGAAAATATGTCATGTAGGTAATTGTGTCTTAAATGGGAAACGATGTCCTAATGTGTTGTTCTTTCCTTTTCGATGATCAACAGTATTTTCCTTTTCTGAACAAACTTCCAATTCCGCAGTCGATGTCGAGTCTGATATGGTAACGAAAATTATAACTCGACTAGGAATTGTTTTGTTACCGAAATATATCAATTACAAAAATATATCTCACAATCTCCCCCTTTGGCAATTTAGTGACAAAACCCTAAAAACAATTCATAATCTACCCAAAGTAGAAAAGTAAATTACAACTGTTTAAGGAAACACGGAAATTTGTTTATCTCTGTTCTCTTCTGCTCTTGGACAAAATTTCACCTGAATTCCTGCACATGGATTAAGCAAAATTACCAATGAAAGTTTAATAAAACAAGTTTAAGACTCCTCCTGAATAAATTATCCAAAAAAAATAAAATTAGATTTTTCTCCCCCCTTAATATAACTATGTTCTCCCCCTTTTTGAAACAAAATTGATAAAGTAATTGAAGCATGTCATTCAGAGTAGAAACAATACTAAATAGAGAAAATAGTAATCAGTTTATTACATGTCAGCAGTCAAAAGATAATATCCAAAAATATCAAGTTATGACAATGTAAAAATTGAACAAAAAGTTATGCATGTACGATATGAACATATAATCAAGCATCAATATCATCTCCAGCGAACGGAACAATAGAAGTCAGAATCTTCTCATCACCATCATCAGTGTCACTAGCACTACCATCCTCATCATCCTCTGCATCCTCATCTGTTTTATCCTCCTCATCTCTGTTGTAATACCCCTAATTTTAAAAAGATAACTTTGGTATATATTTGATTTCTTTTATTTGCATTTTTAATTTATTTAATTAGTTAATTGATGATTTGATTATATGTTTAATTTATTTAAGTGGTTAAATGTAATTTGTTGGCTTATTTGAATTTACATGCTTTAATTGAATTATTTGAATCTGCTTATGTGCAATTAGTGTAGCTTAATTGTTATGAACTAAATCATTTAAATATTTGTTTTATTTTATTTAAAATTTTTATTTAAGGATGGACTTAGATAGTAGTAATGGACCAATCGTTTGGGTCTCATGGACTACTTGGATATGAGATTTAAATGGGTACAGTTACTACTCATGGATAGTGATACATATTTATATGGGTATATATGTATATAAGGTTATGTTAATTATTAATTATAATTAATAGTTACATTAATTGTGATATTCAGTATATGCTATATATTATATAATTATAATGGTTTATATATATATATATATATATATATATATATATATATATATATGTTATCACGTTGGATTAGGGTACCGATATATATAATATGTATTTATTTTATTTTTCTTTAGGTAATTAGAATTAGGTTAAATTAAAATTGCCTATAAATTTATCATTATATGTCTGCCTAGGCTTAAAAACCCTATTTACGCATACAGAGAGGTTTGAGAGAAAACTGAGAGAACAAGTTAGGGTTTTGGCCGTAGATTAAAGGTCGGACCAAGGAGGAAGGAAGAAGGTTGCTCGTGGGTTGAACCAGGAGCTGCAGAGGAGTTTAACGGCAGTTAAGGAGTCATCGGTGTAATTAGAGAAGATGGTTTAAGGTTTCAAACCGAAACCTAAGGCAAGTTTTTTCTTTTACTCTTTCCACTTGACTTGTGTTCTATATATGCCTAGGTAATTTCCAGGAATTAATCGGATATTAAAATTTGTCTTATATACATGCTATTTCAGTTTTAAAACAATATTATGTGATTTTATTTGAGATTTATTGAACTTGAATTTTGTTACATGAATATGTGTTTTGATTGTTATTAAAGATGTATACTTGATTTAAATAAATTATGAGAATGTTTTGAGACATAATTTGGACCCCTAGGAATTGTAACAAAGGAGTACAGAGGGATTTTACATCGTCGGAAACGAAGAAGATGATAGGAAGCAGGGGTAGAGCCGGCTCTCAAAAGGATGGAGCCAGTTCCTTTAATCTTTCCACATAGAGCTCTCTGGGAGAGAGAGAGCCGATTCCCCAGTAGGAAATAATGTCCTAATGTATTGTTCTTTCCTTTTCGATGATCAACAGTACTTTCCTCTTCTGAACAAACTTCTAATTCCGCAGTCGATGTCGAGTCTGATATGGTAACTGGAATTACAACTCAACTATGACTTATTTTGTTACCGAAATATGCCAATTCAAAAATATATCTCACACATATTAGCAGAATTCTAACTTGAAAACTTTCCTCAACCAATACAGAAGTACAGAGTTGGGCTTCTGTGATGGCCTATTTTGATCTTTTACTACTGTTTGGGCCAGTTGAGCTAAAACCCATTTTTTTTTGGAAATGTTAGCCTATCTTTTTGTGTATTTACTCTTTATATTGAAATATATATATATATATATATATATATATATATATATATATATATATTAATTTTTTTTTGAACCTGGCATATTGTTATTATTTTTTTAAAAAGTAAAATGTATTTGCAATTCATGAAAAAAAAAAATTTTAGGACCAATTACCAACTTAATATTAGGATAATTTTGAAAAGAATAAAAGACTGGGAGCAAACCTTGTCACATTGTGCAACTTCATTACAATAACTTCAAAAAATCATCTATAATGAATTATCAATCCTTTGTAAATTGTAGTACCCCATCATTTCAACATTAGAGATTCTAGAAATTGTCAAATGGAGTAGGTTAAAATTAAACACAAATTTAATAACACAATTTCTCAAGCAAATTTTTTTATTAGGGCTTGTTTGGCTTAGGCCTTTATTTTAGTATTGTGACTTAACTTACTTGGGCTTATTTGGGTGGGCTAATACTAATAATATATATATTTTTTCGACTGAATTAAAATTACCCATAATAATAATATATATATATTTTTTGGGTGGGCTGGAGCCCTGCCCAGGCCTCCCCTAGATCTGCCATTTTAAACTTTTACTTTTTTTTTGTTGCAATTTTCTTCCTGTTTCTTTATTTTTCATATTTAGCATTAAAAAGTGATCCTTTTTACCAAGTTTGACTCATGGGGTTTTGAAGAAAATAAATCAATTTGTTACAAGTGTACAGAGTAATAATACACTTACATTGACAGCTAAACAAAAGTAATATTGATGTAACTTTTTTATACCTCAACTTTTGGGGCACTTTTTTCCCTCCTAACCTGATTGTGATAAGAATATAAATTAAAATAAGTCTATTAAATAATAAATACATTTTTTCTTAACAAAATTATTATTATTAAATTATGTAAAATAACATTTATTTTTTGATTTTCAGAAAAATAAAAATTGACAAAAATCCTTACCTGTTGTGGATGTGGGCTCCACACCTTGCATCATTACTTACATCATCTCTTGGAGTAGTGAGCAAGTTTATTGCATTGGCTTATATTGGAAGCTAACCCACGAATTGAATGCCTATAAATAGGCATCATGTGTATGAACTGAAGGTGCAATAAGAAATGATCTCTCTCTCTCCCTGCACAAGTTAATTTACATTTCTATATTACGGATTACTCAAAAGATATACATATATATATTCATCACATGTTATCAGCACGAGGCTCTATCAATTGAGAAGAAAATTCTATTTTTCTTTCTCACTTCAAAGGGTAAGAAAAATAATTATTTATATTAAACTGTTATTATTCAAGTCTCACATATAATTAACATTATTGAGCCTGCAGTCTCGCAATTATTTATTTATTTATTTATGTTAGAGTATTTTTGTCTATTCTTTATAGAAAATTAAATTGCTGAGCCCGAAGTCTCGCAAATACTAAATTATTTAATTTGCAAACTCAAAGTTTTGCATATATTAATCTACTGTTTGTGAGCCTGAAGTTTCCCAAAGAGTCTTTGTGAACCCGAAGTTTTGCAAAATTTGTGAGCCTGAAGTTTCACAAATATTTGGTACTCTTTGCAAACTTGAAGTTTCGCAAAATTTATTGGCCTGAAGTCCAAATAAATCTGAAATTCTTTGACCTGAAGTCATTTACACGGAGTACCCTTACAAACCTGAAGTTTTGTAAAACGTAGAAATATAAATTATATGTGCCTTTTAGTGTAAACATATTTTGTCTTTTTGTTATTGTTTTGTTTACTGAAACCACATGACTAACTTTTAACATTATATATTTATTGACAAATCACATTATAGTGACTGCAGTATTTTTATAATCTCAAATTGATTATTCTTTGTGTGAAATAATCCTAACTATGTTATTTTATCATTTATAGTTCACAATGTCAAATCTTACCAAGCTTGAATTTGTGGCACTTGACATCTCGGGCAAAAACTACTTGTCATGGATCCTTGATCCATGAATCTCGGTGAAACAATTAAGGAAAAAAATAATGCGTCCTTGCAGGACCACGCAAAAACCATGATCTTTCTTCGCCATCACCTCCATGAGGAATTAAAAACAAAGTACCTCATGGTTAAGGATCCACTTATACTGTGGAAAAATCTGAAAGAACGATATGAGCATCAGAAAACTATGATCCTTCCAAAAGCTCGTTATGACTGGATCCACTTGCGATTGCAGGATTTTAAAAGTGTAAGTGAATATAATTCAGCCTTATTTAAAATCAGCTCACAATTGAAATTATGTGGAGAAAAAATCACTAATGATGATATGTTGGAAAAAACATACTCCACATTTCATGCCTCAAATGTGCTCCTGCAGTAGCAATATAGAGAGTGCAGATTTACCAAATATTCTGAGCTAATTTCTTGTTTGTTGGTGGCTGAACAGAATAATGAGCTTTTGATGCAAAACCACCAGTCCCATCCCATTGGATCTGTACCATTCCCAGAAGCGAATATGTCATCATTTCACGGCCATGGACGTTAACGTGGACGCAGACGTCGTGGTGGTCGTGGATATAGTCGCAATAGAAATCATGATAATAATCGTGGTGGTCATAATTCCTCATTGGTTCCCAGAAGGAACTCCACACCGTCCCACCAGAAGTGGAATTCAAATGCGACCAAGCAGGCAAAAGAAAAAGCTTTACAGAAAGCTCCTGAGATATATGATGACAAGCCTTGCTATAGATGTGGAATGAAAGGTCATTGGTCACGTACCTGTCGTACGCCCAAACATCTAGTTGATCTTTACCGTGCCTCAATGAATGATAAGGGAAAAGGAAAGGAAATTGAAATAAATTTTGTGGATGACGACTTAACAACTGATATTACTCACTTTAATGTTTCTGACTTCTTTGCTGATACTAGTGGTAGTAGTGATCATTTAATTGGTGATGGAAATGTCCATACCAATTAATGTGTCATTCTCTAGCATGTTATCCCTTGTGTGTTTTAGCTTATCTGTACCAATATGTCTCTATCTAGGTTGTACTAGTATGTTTTTATTTTGATTATCTTATATGTAAATATAGTTTGTATTTCAAGTTTGAAGTAATGAAACATATATTTTGTGTATATGAAGAAGTATGGATCTGACTAAGGCATTGACTGTACCCAAGATAAATGATGAAGATATATGTCTGGCAGACAGTGCAACAACGCACACTATACTCCGAAATAGAAAATATTTTTCGAGTATAACATTAGTTGACACTCGTGTCAATACAATATCAGGTCCAGCAGATCTAATTGAAGGCTCCGGAAGAGCTATCATTATGTTACCCTGTGGAACACAATTGAATATTAATGATGCTCTATACTCTACAAAATCCAAAAGAAATTTATTAAGCTTTAAAGATATACGTCTCAACGGTTATCATATTGAGACTATAAATGAAGGGGGCATTGAATATCTATGTATTATATGCAAGAAACATGTATTAGAAAAACTCCCTGCTTTATCTTCTGGGTTATATTATACCAATATAAAAGTAATTGAGTCACATGCAGTGAAGCACCAGAAGTGCTCCGACCCAAATATTTTTATACTCTGGCATAATCGCCTTGGTCATCGTGGGTCAACAATGATGCGCCGAATCATTGAAAATTCACATGGTCATCCACTAAAGAACCAGAAGATTCTTTTAGCAAATGATTATCCTTGTACTGCTTGTTCACAGGGTAAATTAATAGTCAGACCATCACCTTCCAAGGTCATTGTTGAATGCCCACCATTTTTACAACGAATTCAAGGGGATATATGTGGACCAATTCATCCAGTGTGTGGACCATTTCGTTATTTTATGGTCTTAATTGATGCATCAACACGGTGGTCACACGTAAGTTTACTTTCTACTCGTAATGTTGCATTTGCTCGAATCCTTGCTCAAATAATCCGATTACGAGCACAATTTCTGGATTATCTAATCCAGACTATCCGTTTTGATAATGCCGGAGAATTTACATCTCAATCATTTGATGACTATTGCATGTCAATTGGCATCCTTATTGAACATCCTATTGCACACACTCATACCCAAAATGGTCTTGCAGAATCTTTTATCAAACGTCTTCAGTTAATAGCTAGACCATTACTCATGAGAACTAAACTACCTGTTCTGCTTGGGGACATGCGATATTACATGCAGCATCACTAGAACGCATTAGACCAACTGCATATCATAGTTTTTCACCACTACAACTTGTGATGGGTCAATAACCAAGTATCTCTCACTTACGAGTTTTTGGTTATGCTGTATATGTTCCCATTGCACCCCCACAACGCACCAAAATGGGTCTTCAACGACGACTTGGTATTTATGTAGGTTTTGATTCTTCATCTTTTATTAGATATCTTGAACCCATGACAGGTGATGTGTTTAAGGCGCGGTTTGCTGACTGTCATTTTGATGAGTCTATTTTCCCTCCATTAGGGGGAGAAAAGAAAAAGCCAGAAGAGCAACGAGTTATTAATTGGAATGTCTCGACTTTATCTCATTTAGATTCTCGCACAAATCAATGTGAACTAGAAGTTCAAATGATCATTCATTTGCAAAGTATTGCAAATCAATTACCCGATGCATTCACTGATATAAAGAAAGTGATGAAATCACATATACCAGCTGTAAACATTCCAGTAAGAATTGATGTCCATGTAGGACAGTCTGTCAGTACTGTTGCAAATGTATCTAAGACACGCCAGAAGCGTGGTAGACCAGTCGGTGCAAAAGACACTGTTCTCCGGAAGAGGAAAGTGCAAGAGAAATCAAATAAAGAAATTGGCGCTCCTGGAGAGGTCACACTTGCAAAAGAAATTGGCGCTCCCGAAAAGGTCACACTTGCAAAAGGAACAACGAAAATGATTGATCAATCTAAATTTTATAAGCAAGTAGCCCCAGAAGATATATATGCCCCGGAAGTGGCACATGCCCCGGAAGTGGAACAATCCCCTGAAGAGGCACTAGTACCTGAAAATAATGAGATCTCAATAAACTATAGAGAATTATGGGATAGAAATACAGTTATTATTAACGATATATTCTCCTTTGCAGTTGCTCTTGATATTGTAGGTGATAATGAAGATCCTGAACCTCAAAACATCGAAGAGTGTCGATGTAGAAATGATTGGCCAAAATGGAAAGAAGCAATACAGGTAGAGCTAAACTCATTGGCAAAACGTGAAGTATTTGGACCTGTAGTCCAGACACCTGAAGATGTCATGCCTATAGGGTACAAATGGGCATTTGTAAGGAAATATAATGAGAAAAATGAAATTGTAAGATATAAAGCCCGACTTGTAGCCCAAGGTTTCTCGCAGAGACCTGGTATTGATTATGAAGAGACATACTCTTCTGTAATAGATGCAATCACATTTCGCTTCTTGATCAGTTTGACAGTCTCAGAAGGACTGGATATGCGTCTGATGGACGTGGTTATAGCTTATTTATATGGATCACTAGATAGTGATATATATATGAAAATCCCTGAAAGATTTAAAATGCTTGAAGCAAATAGCTTGAAATCACGTACCATGTATTCCATCAAGTTACAACGATCCTTGTACGGATTGAAACAATCCGGACGCATGTGGTACAATCGACTCAGCGAGTATTTACTCAAAGAAAGATATGTGAATAATCAAGTTTGTCCATGCATTTTCATCAAGAAATCAAAATCTGGATTTGCCATTATAGCTGTATATGTTGATGATCTAAATCTTGTGTGAACTCCTGAAGTGCTCACCACGACTGCTAATTATTTAAAGAAAGAATTCGAAATGCAAGATCTTGGTAGAACAAAATTTTGTCTCGGCCTGCAGATCGAACATTTACCAAGTGGAATTCTTGTCTATCAGTCAACATACACTGAAAAAGTCCTAAAACGCTTTTATATGGATAAAGCTCACCCCTTGAGTTCTCCAATGATTGTCCGATTACTTGATGTTAAGAAAGATCATTTTCGTCCTCTGGAAGAAGGCGAAGAAGTTCTTGGTTCTGAAGTACCATATCTTAGTGCAATCGGTCCTTTAATGTACCTTGCAAATTGTACCAGACCTGATATAGCATTTGCAGTCAACTTATTAGCACGGTATAGTTCTGCACCAACTCGAAGACATTGGAATGGGGTCAAACACATTATGCGTTACCTTCGGGGAACGACTGATATGGGATTGTTTTATTCAAGACAATTAAAGCCCCAGTTGATTGGATATGCAAATGCAGGTTATCTTTCTGACCCACATACAGCCCGATCACAAACAGGGTACTTGTTTACTTGTGGTGGTACTGCTATATCATGGCGATCTATGAAACAGACCATGACTGCAACTTCCTCAAATCACTCTGAGATACTCGCAATTCATGAAGCAGGTAGAGAATGTGTTTGGTTGAGATCTGTTATACAACATATTTGAGAATCATGTGGACTCTTCTCAATCAAAGATAGTCTAACAATATTATATGAAGATAATACGACATGTATTGCATAGGTAAGAGGAGGATACATAAAGAGTGATAGAACCAAGCACATTACCAAAATTCTTTTCCACACACGAGCTCCAGAAGAGTCGTGATATTGATGTTAGGCAGATACGCTCGAGTGATAATCTAGCAGATTTATTCACTAAAGCGCTTCCAACTACAACATTCAAGAAGCTGGTGCACAACATTGGAATGCGTCAACTAAAGGATCTTCAGGGTTGAACTAATGAGGGGGAGCAATTGATCGAAGAGGTGTTGGCATACTGTATTCTTTTTCCTTCGTCTAGGTTTTATCCCACTGGGTTTTCTTGGCAAGGTTTTAATGAGGCAGTTTTAACCTATGCAATACTATTTTCAATGACACAAGGATATTGTACTCTTTTTCCTTCGCTGGGTTTTTATCCCACTGGGTTTTTCCTAGCAAGGTTTTAACGAGGCATATTCTTAGTGTAGTATAGTGGATTCCAAGGGGGAGTGTTGTGGATGTGGGCTCCACACCTTGCATCATAGCTTACATCATCTCTTGGAGTAATGAGCAAGTTTATTGCATTGGCTTATACTAGAAGCTAACCCACGAATTGAATGCCTATAAATAGGCATCATGTGTATGAACTGAAGGTGCAATAAGAAATGATCTCTCTCTTTCTCTCTCGTTCTGTCTCTTTATCTCTCTCTCTCCCTGCACAAGTTAATTTACATTTCTATATTACAGATTACTCAATAGATAGACATATATATATTCATCATATTACCCTATTTAATGTCGTCACTTTAAAAGTGGACAAGCCATTACATCCATTGCGAGGATGACTATTCTGTTCATACAATAAAAACAGAAAAACCTAATGAAACATGTATAAAAAATAAAAAACATATATATTTCTTAAAATTTATATTATGCCTCAGTAGATTTTTCATATTTGCAAACTTGTTCGTCTCATCTCTAGTAGCCAATAAAATCAGAATGTTTCTCTTGATTTCAATATTGAATGCTTAAAAAAATTTGTGCACGTTATGAATAACAAGTTTGCATTTTTCTTCATCCATGATCGTTACTGAAAGACTACCCCGGCAAAGTTTTCGACTAAAAAGGAAATTGCTGAAGTCGTTTCCTGTCATATGCACCATGCACAATTAAAACTAGGAAAAAAAATGTAGCAGCTAATTTTGGCTTTCACATAAACATTACACAACAAATTCATTAATATATATATATATATATTATAACAATTGCCATTATATAAAATTCTGCATCAAGTTTAAAGTAAATCATATTCTAATCACATATTACATATCTATTTGAATCGGTATTGGGTCCTCAAATCTAAACGTTTAATAATGGGGAAATGGATTTGCTGCAAAGAAAATGGTAAATCCCAATTGAAAAATTAAGTAAATTAAACTAAGTAGTTCTACTGTATATATTTTATAGGGTAAAATGCAAAAAAAAAAAAACCCTAAACTATTATTGCAAATAGCAATAAATTCCCTGCACTATCAAAATTGCAAATAACTCCTGAACTATACAATTTTGTTGCAGTTTATCCCATCCGACGAATGGCCTGTCATATTTTGGCCATGATCAGAGTGCGTGTTCCTAACGCGGCATGATATATAAAAATATAGATAATATTACCCTTGCAAATTTGAAAAGTCTAAATTGCTCCTCTTAAAAAAATACACAGAAATCCTGTTACATCTAAACACGCTCTTGTGGTCACTGTTCATCTTTCTCTTTCATCATCTTATTTAACCTAAACCCCTCTCTCTCCCTCCTTCTATCTATATAATATGTGTGTGTGTATATATATAGATAGATCTCGGCGTAAATATATCAAAGCTAAAGTAAGGCTTGGTCCAATTAAAGATGTAGCTCGTGCCACAGAGGTAAACTCAACCACAATCCCAAACCCAATTGAAACTCTATCATACCCACAAATCCACAGCCACTTATGTTCTTGAACTCTAATAACCCAACGCCTCTTCGTCTTAATCGGGTTTTGGATTGAATGAGGTAAAATTGAAATTGAGGTAAGAATATGAGGTTTTCAGGACAATCGCCACCGTCCATAGTGACTGTGGAATCACCGTCGTCCCTGGTGACTCTATAATCACCTCCGTCCATGGTGATTCGTCTCTTTCTCCAACCTCATCCCCCGTCGCTGCCGCCATAATAGCACCACCACTTTCTATCCATGGTCATCCGTTTCCTCCTCCAACCTCAACCCGTCACCACCGCCACGTATCACAACAGCACCACTACTTCCTATCCATGGTGATCCGGTTCCTCCCCTAATCTCAATCCTCATCGCTGTGGCCATAACACCGCCACCACCTCCACTAGATATTCCGACCTCATCCCCTGTCGTCACCGCCGCCACAATAACACCATCAACTCCCTACACGAATTTTCCCCAATAGATTTCAGATATATACCTTGTGTATATATATATATATATATATATATATATATATATATATATGTTTGTATGTATGTATGTGATTATATGTGTGTGTGTGTGTGTGTGTGTTTATATGCGTGTCTGCGTGATTGTAAAGAGAAAGTAGGGCTATGTTGGGTGTTGGGTGACTTGTCAAGCTCTCATTTGTAGGTGAGATTACATATTCCACGTCAGTAATTTAAGAGGCTAATAAGTGAAACAACGTTATTTTATAGCAATGATCAAATGGTCTTTTGCTCTTTCTGGTAACCTACCGGGTAAACTGCAACAAAACAATAGTTATGTAATAAATATGATATTAAAGTATATCTTGATACAAGCAGATAGATACATATATGAGAGTGAGAGATATAAATATGAGAGAGAGAAAAAACGGGCTGCTATTTCATTTCTTCGTACCATCACTTGTATACACATTAGCCTATTTATAGGCATGATTAGGCGCGGGTAACAAGTAGCTTGTAGCTTATCAAACAAGCTTCCACTCTAATAATATACAAATACTTATCAAACAAGCTGCTTTGCCATTCATTACAAGTGGACCCCACATTAATATACATATATATATAACACTTCCTCTTGGGGTCCACTGCACTACACTAAGAATATACCTCATTAAAATCTTGCTAAGGAAAATCCAGTGGGAAAAAACCCTAGCGAAGGAAAAAAAGTACCCTATTGTTGTGTATCTGAAAATGGTATTGCATAGATTAAAATTGTCTTATTAAAACCTTGCCAGGAAAACCTAGTGGGATAAAACCTGGATGAAGGAAAAAGAATACAGTATGCTAATACCTCTTCGATCAATTGCTCCCCCTCATTAGTTCAACCTTGAAGATCCTTTTTATTGACGCATTCCAATGTTGTGCACCAACTTCTTGAATGTTGTAGTTGGAAGCGTTTTAGTGAATAGAGCTGCTAGATTTTCACATGAACGTATCTTCTGAATATCAATATCATCCTTTTTCTGGAGTTCATGTGCATAAAAGAATTTTGGTGAGATGTGCTTGGTCCTGTCACTTTTAATATACCCTTCTTTCATCTGTGCAATACATGCCACATTATCTTCATATAATACTGTTGGGCTTTCTTTTATTGATGAGAGATCACATGTTATTCGAATATGTTGGATCATTGACCTCAACCAAAAAGTTCCCTGCTTACTTCATGAATTGCGAGTTCCTCAGAATGATTTGAAAAAGTTGCAATCATTGTCTGTTTCATAGATCGCCATGATATCGCAATGCCGCCACAGGTAAACACATATCCTGTTTGTGAATAAGTTTTATGTGGATCAGAAAGATAACCGGCATCTACATATCCAATTAATTGAGAATTTGGTGCCGTTGAATAAAACAATCCCATATCAGTTTTGCGACAAAAATATCGTAATATGTGTTTGATTCCATTCCAATGTCTGCGGGTTGTTGTAGAACTGTACCTTGCTAATAAATTGATTGGAAAAATTATGTCAGGTCTTGTGCAATTTGCAAGACACAAAAGAGCACTAATCGCACTGAGATAAGGCACTTCAGGACCAAAGAGTTCTTCATCATCCTCTCGAAGACGAAAATGATCTTTCTTGACATCAAATGATCGGACAACCACTGGAGAGCTCAATGTATAGGCTTTATCCATATGAAAACGTCTCAAAATCTTTTCTGTATATGTTGATTGATGGATGAGAATACCACTCGAAAAATGTTCAACCTGCAGCCCAAGGCAGAATTTTGTCTTTCCGAGATCTTTCATTTCGAATTCTTTCTTTAAATAAGTGGCCGTCTTTTCGATCTCGTCCAATGTTCCCACAAGATTTAGATTATCAACATATACTGCAACATTAACAAAACCAGATTCTGATTTGTTAATAAAAATACATGGGCAAATATGATTGTTTACATATCCTTCTTTGAGTAAGTAATCGCTAAGGCGATTGTACCACATTCGTCCAGACTGCTTCAATCCATATAAGGATTGTTGTAATTTTATTGAGTACGTATTACGTGGTTTTGTTTCAGGCATTTTAAATCCTTATGGGATTTTCATATAAATATTACTATCTAGTGATCTATATAAATATGCTGTAACCACGTCCATTAAATGCATATGCAATCTTTCTGTGATTGCCAAATATATTATTAATCTAAATGTGAGTGCATCTATCACAGGGGAGTATGTTTCCCCATAATCAATACCAGGTATCTGTGACAAACCTTGAGCTATTAGTCGAGCTTTGTATTTCACGATTTCATTTTTTTTATTACGCTTTTGTACAAACACCCATTTGTACCCAACAGGATTAACACTATCAGGTGTCTGGACAGCTGGTCCAAATACTTCACGTTTAGCTAATGAACTTGTATCGCTTCTTTCCATTTTGGCCAATCATTTCTTCGTCGATATTCTTCGACGTTTTGAGGTTTCGGATTCTTATTATCAATATCAAAAGCAACGAGATATGAGAATATGTT